ACACACAGACTTCATTATAATGATAAGAAACAAAAACGGTCATAAAGTTAAAATAGTGACAATAAGACATAAATCAGGGAGCGATCAGAAGCAGTGAGCTCGACGCTTCAACGCTCGCCATGACGAAACTGTAACGCCGCCATAGAAACAAACGTTTGTCACTTTGAAGCAGCTCGTAGGTTCGGGGGTTAGCGACCCCGCAGCACAGCGGTACAACAATGACACCGGCAGCACGAGTTAGCAGATTAAAGTTCAGGTGAGTTCCCACCTGTGTTTCCGATGATCTTCTCCCAGGGCTGGTCAGCGAGGACGTTCAGCAGCAGAGGGGAGATGAGCGGCGTGAGGGACCACAGCCTCACCGTGCTGTCCCTGCTGCAGCTCGCTATGGTGAAGGGACGGCTCTGATGGCACGTGAGACCTGCACACGCACAGAGTGAGCGGCTGTCACAGGAACGCACACGAATGTTTACTGAAGCGCGCCGTAAACAGGAAGTGGAGCCCGACTCACCGTACACGTCGGCTCCGTGGTCGTAGACCGTGTCTAAACACGTGCCGTCTCTGGTGTCCCACACTCTGATGGTGTAATCCCAGGAACCTGCGAAACAGCACAAACGAGCACGTCGGTCTCCTGAGACTCACACACCAGGGGAGGGGACGCTTGTAGAGACGTTACCTGAGATGAGCAGGTAAGGCACCTCTGTGTTCCACATCAGGCCTCTGACCGGAGCCGTGTGCCCGCTCAGCACATTGATGCAGGCGTCCTGCGTGTAGTCCCAGATACGAACAGTCCTGCACACACACACACACACACACACACACACACACACACACACACACACACACACTCTTTGAACCAAGGCTAACTTGGGACGGCGTGCTCCGCCTCCTCCTCTCAGTGTGTCTGCACTCACCCATCATCCGATCCAGAGCACAGGATGCCCTCTCTCAGGGGGGACCAGCGAACGTGGAACACCTTGGCCAGGTGTCCCGTGAACACCTTCAGAGGCTGGTCCGAGCTCGTGGCCAGGTAGTACACGCGCACGTTCTTGTCCTCGCAGCCCGTCGCTATCATGTCCCTGCAGGCAGAAGCACACGGTGACGTTCTCACAGCTTTAAAGGATCACTGCGCTTTATTTCAACCTGCTGCTCAGCGTTAACGAACACGCACCACCCACAGCTCCTCCATCAGCTGATGTCGGTGCACACGGACCTTTGACCCCTCAGAGCTGCTGCACACTCTTCCCTGGAAACGTAAACCCGCTGTGATGCTGGTTTAAATAGGAAATACCGACGGGTCAAACCGTGACCTCGTCGTTTGGTCTCTATTCTCGCTCACACAAACACTGCTGGACATCAGAGGAACTGCAGCGCTGGCTTTGTGTGGCTGCAGCTATACGAAGCACAGACCTCAGGAACAGACGAGAACAAAGTGCAGACGTTTGTCTGTGAAGCACGTTTGGAGGAAACCAACAGCTCGCAGCAGCCGTCAGCACAAAGGAGGAGGGAGGGCGGGACAAAGTCCAGGTCTGAACCAGAGGCCAGAGCTGGACCTCCAGAGAGCTGTGCATGAGCAACGCTGTGAAGAAGACTCCTCCACCTGGATGACACAGACTAATGAAGTCACACAGGAAACATCAGCGCAGGTTCGTCCTGCTACAGGAGGGTGTACACGCTGCTGGACGATGGGGTCAGTGTATCGTGTGTGTGTAGATATTAGCCCATATTTAGCTCTACTGTACACTTTAGCACGTGCTGATTGTTGACACTACAGAGGAACTTAGAAGAACATCATGTCTTCTTCATCGACTGGGACCATAAACTCATCGGACTCACAGAGCTGGTGAGCAGGAGGCTTAAACCGTAACAACAGCACTCAGCCCTGTTCAGTGTGACGTCCAGCTCTGAACCTGCCGTAGACGTTCATGTAAACGAGCCGCTGGGTCCTTTAAAGCACTTGGGTGACACGTTTTGTGCCTGGATAACCTCCAGACAGCCCGGGCTGTGACACTCACCGTCCTCGTCCTGTGTCCCCCGTTTTTCCTTCTCCGAGCTGTGACATCCTACCATGTTGCTTAAATGATTCAAGTGAAGCCAAACGATGTGGACGCAGGTCTTACTTGTTGTTCTGGCTCCAGTCGCAGCCAAACACAGCAGCGGGGTGTTTGTACTTGTGCAGGATTTTACCGTCGATGGTCCGGATGATGCTGTCGCCACAACAACAATAAAAACACGAATCACTGCAAAGGACAAACATGACGCCGTCGTCGGGAGAGAAGAGGAAGCACTCACCAGAATCCGTCTCCGCTGCAGGTAGCGATCCGCTTTGAATCCTTGTGGCTCCAGGAAATACAGAAAATGCCGTTCTTACCGTGCTGGAGGAAGACAGACAGACGCATCACGCTGTGCATCGTGCGATCGGGTTCAGACACACGGGGGCGCGGCCCTACTCACCTCGTTGAAGCGAGTGATGATTTTTCCTTTCCTGACATCCCAGATGAACGCTCCGTTACGGGACGTCGCCCCCGCGATGCAGTTCAGGTCTCCTTCACAGAGACACAAACACGTCATCAGTTCATCTACACGAGGCAGTGAAACGCTGCTGCTGCTGCTTTAGTGACACAAAGCGTCTCAGATCACCTGAGTTTTTAAACGATGGTTTCTATTATGAAGGAGACAAAACCGACCTGCTCCTCTTATTGATCGAAGAAGAAGAAAACAGGCAAAGATGACTGATTTCTCAAAACAGCATAAACCCTGTGGGCAATCTAAAAGCTCTGTGTGTGAACTTCCTGTTATCTGTGAGCCTCGGATTAAAGAAACTGTCCCTGCTGATGAATTAGAGCGCACAGGAAGCACAGCAGCAGCGAAGCATCGCCAGACGTACATGAAGCATCAAAGCTGGTCTGAGGGCGTCCACAGCAAACAGAAACTTTGAACCAGCTGGTTTTTCCCTCTGACTCACGATTCTCTCAACATTGAAACGGTGGCTTTGCTCGGAGTTTAACCACACACTTCATCATCGTGTTCATAAATAAGTGTTTTTATTACACAGAGAAAACTCAGGAAACAAGAAGCATCTTAGAAAGTGTCAATATCAGCTGATGTCGACACCAACCTGCTCCCGGGGTTTCACAGTTAATGCTAAACTGGATTTGTGGCTTTTCCCAGATTAGGCAAAAAGCAGAAATAAAAAGCCCGACCGACAGACGGGATCATTGTCCAGGTGGGAAGTGTTTGTGGTTGAGTTTCCTGTTCCCGCAGAAACATGAAGACTGTGATGCTCGCTGTGCTGCTGCTGCTGGCCGTCAGTCAGAGTGAGTTAACCCGCAGACCTGCTCTCCGTTCGTCTGTTACATTTATTTGATGTTGGTAAGACGGTCTGTCGCGGCGTGAGTGAACCGTGGGGCTGCTGGCGACGGCTGAAGGTGGTTCTTTGACGTGTTTTGCAGGTGAAGCCTTGGAGTGTCACTGTGGAGGCCAGAAGTTCTGTTCACGTCCTGTGGAGACGTGCTCCAGCTCCAACGATGTCTGCTCTACTCTCGTCATCACTTCTGGGCCGGGTAAGTCTCGCCTTGCGTCGCTCTGACGTTTATGCAAAGAAAAGAGAACAAATGCATGCTGGGCCGCCTCACGGGCACTGTGAGCGGCTGGGACGATGTGTGACGGTCACTTCTGTCCTTTGGTTTTCACAGTGGTAACGCACACAAAGGGCTGCTTGAAGTCGCTGGCCTGCAGGATCCTGAATCGTCCGCCCGTGATGACTGCCAGCTGTTGCAGTTCTGATCTGTGCAACAGATAAACCGCTGCCACGCGGGACGTCGCCCGATTGGTCGACGCTCTGCTGCCGTGTGTTGTGTACTCTAGAGCAATAAAGATCAGCTGACTGTATTTACTGTCTCCGCTCCCTTTTTATCATCAAACTGATTTATTTCCACTTTGAAATATTTCTCTGACATGTTACCATAAAGTGTTGTTACGCGCGGTTAGCTCAGGTCGCTAATGATGAGACTTCAGGACGAGAAGCCCCGAAAACACCGAGTGATGTCACAGTGGCCATCGTTTGTTTACAGTCTGTGATGTTTTAACGCTCTGTGTGCCGCTGCTGGCTGATGGAGACACCCTCAAGTGGTCAGTAGAGGAATTGCAGCTCGCTTCATTTTCAGCTCCAGAGGTTCCTGCGTCATTATCAGGCGGTGCAGTCCTAAAAATAACCTTTGGAAAGATGGACGTGTGAATACGATTATCGACTTTAGATGTATCCAGTCATTTTATACGCTCATATATAGAATATATGTTTCATGCATGTCAGCGGTATCTCTTATTAGAACCGTGTGACCTGTAACTGTAAACCTTTGTTGCATCGTGGGAATAAAGAAAAACATAATAATTTGGTCAAAGTGAAATCTGCATTTCCACAGTGGAGAATAATTTAAAGCCGTGTTATTTAACCACTTCATGGTGTGTGTGCGTGTTCGCTGTGAGCCGACGAATTTTAGTCCGACAGCCAAGAAAACGTGAACGGATTAGAGCGCACACAGGAAGCACAGCAGCGGCTGCCGACTGAGGACGAAGCAAACAGAAACTTTGATTGTGACGTCAGCGCGAGTTCCCGTGGTTTCACAGTTAATGCTAAACTGGATTTGTGGGATTTCTGTGGTTGTGCAAATAAAAAGCCCGATCCAGAGGGTCATCCAACGAGGTCATTGTCCAGGTGGGACGTGTTTGTGGTTCAGCTTCCCGTTCTCGCAGAAACACGAAGCGTCAGAGCGAGTTGACCTGCAGACCTGCTGTCTGTGGGTCATCAGTTATTTGTCGTGTTGTGTTATGTTGGCTTGCAGGATGTTTTGACGTGTCGCTGTGGAGGTGATTGTTGACATGCTGTGGCTCTGACTACGTCTGTGCTTCATGTGTCGTAAATATGGAGTTCTGTACTGTCAGGATGAAACATGCAGTAAAACTTACGTTTACATCCTGATCCTCGACTGCAGAGTGTGGGAGAACTGATGAACTGACACCGTGCACAATGTCTGTTTTTACTTTATTATCACTTTGCTGGTGAGACGTGATTTTAGTGGTTGTGGAAACGTCACACGTCACTCCGGGTTTGTCTCCTGTTCAGCAGCAGCACATCGAGCATTTCCAGGTAAAAGCTTCGTCACTTTTACAGCCACAGGCTTCTTCTGTTTGGGCCAATCTGACCTGCATTCTTCCTCATGTCCAGCAGGGGGCGACTCCTCTGTTGGTATAAAGAGGGAGTCTGAGACGATGAGCTGCTTCTCTGTTTGTTCTTCTTTCTTCACGTTTTCAGGTGACTTCAGTTCAGTAGATGAGGCGAGCGGACACAGATCTAAATGTCTCTCCACTGCACGAGAACGCCTTCGACTTCTCCGCCTTTGTGCGCTACAGCCGGTCTGCAGCCGTATACGAGGAACGCGTCCTTATCCACAAAGGAGACGTCTGCTGTATTCAAAATGTTGGGGGAACGTGGCGCCTTCTACAAACTGCAAACCCACTCCTTATTTTTAATACATGAATTATGAGTTTATGAGAACACATCAGATTATCAGACGACGTCATTACACACTGTTCAAAGCATATCTACAAGAACTACATCATGTTTTCTATTAAATAACCTCAGAAAATGACTGACTGCACCTGTAAGGTTTTTCTAAATTATTATTTTTTAAACATGAAGTGTTGATCATGTATCGACTGATATGTAACACAAAGACAACATGTTGTTTATTTGTAATTCCTAGTTTTATATCTTTTGGAGATACATCTTTTATATACTTATAAATGCACCACGGGAGGCTTGGAGTGAAACAGCACGTCAGTACGCTGCATGCTGTGCATGCTGTTGTACTGACAATACAGCTCTTGAATCTTGAATTATATCTACAACAAGCTAATAAAGCTGAGAACAGCCTCACCGGGTCCCTCCTGAGGTTTTACATATCACAGAGGTTTCACACAGTTACGTGTGTGTGTGCGTGTGTGTGTACATGCATGCGTGTGCTGTGTGCATGCGTGCAGCTAGCCTACCCGGAGCCCAGGACAGGGAGTAGACCACTCCTTCGTTTCCGGGGGAGGTGTAAACAGCTGTTAGAGTGTTTGTGTCCCAGATCTTGATGGTTCCATCGAAACTGGCCGTGGCGAGCAGGTTGGGATCATCGGGCTTAAATTTGCAGTCGAAGATGGTTTCTACGTGACCCTGAGGAAGACGCGACACGGTGAGCTGAAGCTCCTTTTTTGTCACTCACGTGTGAGGATGCCAAAGAATACCAAGTCTCGCAGGAAGTCCCACTTCTTGGCTCCCATGTCGTAGAGCCCCACGCCTCCGTCCATGAAGCAGCAGACGGCGTGGCCCGGAGGCAGAGAGAAGGAGCGGTTCTGCGACAGGGTCGGGGGAGGGACCGCCTCACTGGTGGAACTGGTGTACTGACTCTTACTGGGGGAGCAGGAGCTCTGAGCTGCAGAGAGAAGAGGGCTGTGACAAACTCACCTGTGGAAAGTGTTAGCTGGATCCAGGGTTTTAACAACAGAGCCTGATGCAGATGAGCTGCAGTTGTAATCCTGCACGCGCAGTGCAAAACCAAAATCTTATGAAGGCTATTTAACAAAATCCAGATTCTGGATTTTTAACTGTTTTCTCCTTGAAATGTAGAACAGTCACTGTGAGCTCAGCACTTCTGGCATTCATTAACACTTTTGTGATGCTGAATTTAACCTGTTAGACAGCAGATACACAGAAAAAGCTACTTTTCATCATTGGAAAATGATCCAACACAGGCAGTTTGTAAAACTCTGTATTAATGTGAACGTTCATCCACTGCCAGCGCTGAGGGTCTGCTGCTCAGGATGTTTGCTGATCTCAGGAGTGTGAGAGGAAAGTAGGTCTTCTCCTGGCCTTTAAAGGATCCTTACATCTTTGTTTAACTGCTGAGTAACTTTCTGCTCTTAAATGTCTAAGAGATCTCTAATACTGCACAGCTATCAATCTGTTTAAACTTTAGTGAAATGAATGAAAAATAGTTGGACAGTGCATATTTAATCTTTGCTTCCACCTCGGAGGGATGATGGATGATGGATGATGGATGGATGGATGGGATGATGGATGGATGGATGGATGGATGGATGGATGGATGGATGGATGGATGGATGGATGGATGATGGATGGATGGATAGGATGGATGGTGGATGGATGGATGATGATGGATGATGGATGATGGATGGATGATGGATGATGATGATGGATGATGGATGGATGGATGATTGGATGGATGGATGGATGGATGGATGGATTGGATGGATGGATGGGATGAGGATGGATGATGGAGGATGGATGGATGATGGGGATGGATGGATGGATGATGGATGGATGATGATGGGGATGGATGGTGATGGATGGATGATGATGATGGATGGATGATGGGTGGATGGATGATGGATGGATGGATGGATGGATGGTGGATGGATGGATGGATGGATGGGTGGATGATGGTGATGGATGGATGGATGAGTGGATGATGGATGGATGAATGGATGGAGGATGGATGGATGATGGATGATGGATGGATGATGGATGATGGATGGGTGGATGGATGGATGTGGATGGGATGGGGTGGATGGATGGATGGGTGGATGGATGGATGGATGGATGGATGGATGGATGGATGGATGGATGATGGGGTGGATGGATGATGGATGGATGGATGGATGGATGGATGATGGATATGGATGGATGGATTGGATGGATGATGGGTGGATGGATGGATGGATGGATGGATGGATGATGGATGATGGATGGATGGATGGATGGATGGATGATGTTGGATGGATGATGGATGGATGGATGGATGTGGATGGATGGATGGATGGATTGGGTGGATGGATGATGGGGTGGATGATGATGGATGGATGATGGATGGATGGATGATGGATGGATGATGATGGATGATGGATGTGGATGATTGGATGGATGGATTGGATGGATGGATGGATGGATGATGGATGGATGGATGGATGGATGGATGGATGATGAGGATGGATGGATGATGGTGATGGATGATGGATGGATGGATGATGATGATGGATGGATGGATGGATGGATGGATGATGATGGATGATGGATGGATGGATGGATGGATGATGGATGATGGATGGATGGATGGATGGATGGATGGATGATGGATGATGGATGGATGATGGAGGATGGATGAGGATGGATGGATGATGGGTGGATGGATGGATGGATGGATGATGGGTGGATGGATGATGGATGGATGGATGGGATGGATGATGATGGATGGATGGATGGATGGATGATGGATGGATGGGTGGATGGATCATGGATGGATGGATGGATGGATGGATGATGGATGGATGGATGATGGATGGATGGATGGATGGATGGATGGATGGATGGATGAAGGATGGATGGATGGATGGATGGATGATGAGTTGGATGGGTGGATGGATGGTGGATGGATGGGATGATGGATGAGATGGATGGATGAGTGGTGATGATAGATGGATGATGGATGGTGGATGATGGATGATGGATGATGGATGGATGTGATGGATGGGTGGATGGATGGATGGATGATGGATGGATGGATGGATGGATGGAGTGGATGGATGGATGGATGATGGATGGATGGATGGATGGATGATGAGATGGATGATGGATGGATGGATGGATGGATGGATGGGATGGATGGATCATGGATGGATGGATGGATGGGATGATGAATGGATGGATGGATGGATGGATGGATGGATGATGGATGATGGATGGATGGATGGATGGATGATGAATGATGGATGGATGGATGGATGGGATGGATGATGGATGGATGGATGATGGATGGCATGGATGGATGGATGGATGGATGGATGGATGGATGGATGGATGGATGGGTGGATGATGGATGATGGATGGATGGATGATGGATGGATGGATGGATGGATGATGATGGGATGGGTGGATGGATGATGGATGCATGATGGAGGATTAATCATTTGAATAAATCAGTAGATGTTGTGCGTGTCTGTTGGGTTTTGTTCTGACCGACGGCTCCATCTTGACTCAAACTGAAGCTGTTTCAGTGTTTCTCATCTCTGCTGTTACAGCTCATTTGCTAAAGACGGTACCTTTCTTGGCCAGTGGGGAGTTGAGGACATGCAAAGCGTGAAATCCCGTCTTTTTCAGCTTAAAGCTGTCCAGCGGAGTCGAGCGAGACACGTTCCACACTCTCAGCACGCCGACCTGCGAGTCTGAGGGACAGAAACAAATCACTGGACACGCCTCGGAGGCTCTTTCATACTGTAAATGTATTCAGTGAACCCACTTAAATGTGTTATTGTGGACTTCACAAGTCAAATGTTCTCATTATCATGCAAATAAGAATCTATGCATAAAAGAGCGGCATGTCCCACACACCGGCTGCCCGAAGCACACGTCCACCCGAGCAAACAGAAGGGAACACACATCCCACGTGAACACGCAGGCTTTACCTCCGGTGATGAACATGCCGGGCGCAGACGGGACCCAGGCCAAACACTGCACGGACGCGGCAGCTGAGGGGAAGCAGAACGACGTGATGCAGGCCAAGGCCTCGCTGTCCACCAGCCGAATGCCGTTATGAAGGTTAGACACTGAAAGAGAGGCAACCAGTTCATTGCTTCTGTGGGCGAACGGGCCACAGACCAGACAAAAAGCTATTTTACTGCTCTCAGATCTGACCTAGTAAATAGTCGGTTGACAAAGGGTCCCACTCCAAGGCACTGACAGGGTCCTCCTCATCTGTCCCCTCTAAAGACTCCGGACGCAGCACGTGCTTTTGGCTTTTACTCCCTCAAGAAGAGAACAGGGGGGTAAAGGTCTTTTCTTCGGACACACTGAATTTGCATGCTTGACAGAATAATCCTTCTTTATTTCATTCTTAGACACACATAATATTCTGGATAAATATCAGTCTGCTTTCAGAGCCTTCCACAGCACAGAGTCTCTACTGAAGGTGTTCAACGATGTGCTTTTAGCTGCTGACACTGCAAAAAGTACCGTTTTGATTCTTCTAGACCTGAGTGCAGCATTGGACACCGTCGACCACACGATCCTACTAAACCGTCTAAAGACGGCATTCAAGGCTCTGCTCTAACATGGTTTGCCTCTTACCTGGAGATGCTGGGTAACAAATACTCCTCCCAGCTACGCTCACCTGTGGAGTACCTCAGGGCTCTGTTCTGGGCCCGGTCTTGTTCTCCTTATACATGCTCGCATTAGGCTCCATTTTTCAGAAACACCAGATTTCCTGTCACTCCGATGCAGACGATGCACATTTCTACCTCTCTCTAAAACCAGGTGCTGACAGTACGCTGCAGAAAGTCTCAGAGTGTCTTAGCGACATTCATTGCTGGATGTCTCTGAACTTTCTCAAATTAAATCACAACAAATCCAACATTATAATCTTTGTTAAGCAGGACTCTGTTAGTCTCATAAGAAACGACTTGTCCCATTATCAGCTCGTGTACATCCCCACGTAAAAAACCTTGGTTTCATTTTTGATTCCACCCTCAAGCTGGACAAGCAAATAAATCCAGGGCTTTCTCCATTGCCGCCCCGAGACTCTGGAACAATCTCCCCTCTTTTAGAAAATCCTCTTCATCCTTGCAAGTCGTCAAATCGAATCTGAAGACCTACCTTTCGGATCTCTCTGACACCTCGTTTATTCTGTTTTAACTATTCTGGTCTTTTATCTCAGTGGATGATGCTTGCATGTGTAGACACTTATACATGTATTTTATGTTCACGTATGTGCGCTTGTGTGTGAATGTGTACATTTTTGTGTATGTATGCATGTGTGTGTATTTGCATGTACACACATTGTTTACAAACATACACGGATGTCTTACAGTGTTTCTATAATGTTTTCTTTCTATTTTAATCCTTTTATGATATCATCCCTCTGTTCAGCACTTTGGCCGACACTTCATGTCTTTTAAATGTGTTATATAAATAACGATGACTTGACTTATCTAAATTTGGACCTCGGTGCAGCTTCCTCACTTCACCCTCTGTCTGACACAAACTGACTTAGCCCCTCCCACTTATTCCTCTGAGTGGATAAGCTGGTTTCAGGGCGCTGTCACGACCATATTAGGAACGAGCACCCACCTGACTTCCTGTGAAAACGGCCTTTAATACGAATGTTTGTGCAAATCTCTGTGAAAACTGCGTGTGTTCTGCATCACGTCTCTCATCTGGATACAAAACACTGAAAACTTACAAATATAAAATCAAAATACTTTTTTAACACGGCCTGTGGCTAAAGGTGTAATCTCCTGTAATTAATTATTGAATGTGTTTCATTTGACGTTTCAGAGTAATTATAATCACACAAATGCTTAAAGGTACGAACACTAAAAACAGGCTAACAAGTCAGCTTTTTACAGGAAACAAAGAAATAACTATATTCTAAGTAAATGTATATAAATGTGTAAATATAATTTATTGTAATTTCAAATAAAATCCACTGACTTTCCTTCTCTTTTCAGGGGAATGACACACAATGATCACAGACCTCCAGGCGTCCACACATTCAAAACTCGTGTTGGTCGGTACCTGGCTGAAACACCGACAGGCTCCCGTCTGTGTGTCCAAACACCAGTTTCCCCTTCTTGGTGGGGTGCCATCTGAAGAGACAGATGTCAGACAGGAAGGAGTGGGCTTCTTTATGCACCGTGACCCCAGGATCGGGACCTCGGTAGACCCAGATGTACAGCGGACCGCGCTGGGAGACGAACGCCACTCCGTCGGCCGAGTTCCAGCACCAACTGACTGACACGGGGACGCCTGAGAAACAGGAAGAGGCTGTGAGGCTTTACAGATCTGTGCTGAAACAACCCGGCGTGGATCATCCAGCTACCTTTAGTGTTGTCGAGTCGCGCCACCGCCTTTTTCTCTGCTACGTTCCACACGATGAGGAGGTTATCAGCTGAGGCCGAAGCAAACAGGTCGGGGTTGTCGGGGCACCAGCTGATCGCTGTTATGGTCTTCTTGTGCTCTGACATGATGGACCTCAATTTAAACTCATTGTACTGCTGATCCAACTGCAACGAGGACAAGAGAACGAATGAAACAGCTCTCAGAAATCTGTCAACTTCCACAACTCTGCCCAAGAAATCAAGAATCCTTTCCTGCAAGTCGCCGCCCTGTGCACCTCCTGACTACCTCCAGCACTGCTGCTGCGTTTACATCTCCTCCTGGAGGTCTCGTTCTGACCATCTGCATCGGTGCCTCCTGCAACACCGTGCAGACAGCAAATAGTCCCTGGTGACATGAGCTGGTTTCCCTGGGGGAGCTGGCACTCTACAAGGTGCAAACCCAGGAACGGGTTATTCATCCCCCAGAGTCAGAGCTCAGAGCCTGCTGGGACGATCTCTACAATCAAACCCCTCGAAGGACTCGTGCATTGATCAGAGCTCAGGCGACAGACGTGATCTGGACATTCCAAAAAATGTTCACCACAAGAGCAGTTCAAAGGTCATCTCGCACACGTGAATCCAGATTAACAAAAAAACAAACAGATTACATCAAATCTCAGTTCAACTTACAGAAGCAACAAAAATCCTGTTTCAGGATTCCCAGTTCATCCCGGTCACATTCACAAAGACAGACAAGCTCCACCTCGGGTGTTCCCGGCGATCTGCAAACTCACAGCTAAAATCATGAAGGAAAACAGAACAGGAAAAGAAAGCGGCGCCTTTTCCCGAGCAGCTGTCTCCGGAGAACCTCTGGAGGATTCCTGTGATGACAGTCACGCAAGCTGTCGCCACATTACCCGCACGCTACGCCCGAGTATTCAGACCGCGTTAGTCAAAATCAGTACTGCTCACCTGGAGAATAAAGTGTGAATGAAGTGTCAGCACTGCGATCATGGTGCCTCTGATACAGACTACGTCCTGTTTGCTGCACGAGGAAGTAACACGGTGACACACAGACTCACTCACAAGGCAACGTCCTGATTTCTCCTCAACACGCCGACTGTGAGGCTCAGAAAATAATATGCCGCGATACGATTGGCTGAGAGGACTGGCTGTGGAGGTTAAGTAACAAAGAAGTTCATGGAATAAAAATGCAGGAGACTGTGGACCACAGCAGCACAGAAACAAATCAAAAGTACATAAGATGAAACTGAAGATGCTGCGCACTGGAGCAGGTCCAGAGACAGAGCTGCAAACTTCAACGGCTCACAAGCCACAGAGAAACCAGCTCTATGATTTTTATGGGCGGAGTCACAGCTTTAAATATGGCGATCGACAGTGCTTTACCCAGAAAACACCAACTTTGTGTTACAGCATCTACACACTCTCACACACACACACTTGTTTTCATATCTCGATGAGCACATCTAAGTGACAGCATGCTTTCCTTAGCCGCTAACACAACTGTCACCCTGACACTAAAACCACATCTTCAGTCTCAAAAATGTCTTCAAACGCGTGAGGACGGGCACTTTGTCCCCATAAGTATGGTAACATGCCAATGTTCTGTCCTCACAAAGATGTCTAAACACGCGCACACACGCGCACACACATGCACACACACACACACGCACAGGTAGATCACCTGGTAGATGTATATAGCTAGCGTAGCACAGTAGGCGAAGCGGTCTCCGCTGGCCGCACACACGTCTTTGTTCCACGGCTGACAGCCTGCTGCCAACAGGCCCACCTGCTTCACCTTCGCCATCCTCACCTGCAGACACACAAACACTTTAGTTTTAACCAGTTTACGATCTGGTTTTGGATTAGGTGTGTGTTCCTATAATTATCACTGGACTGTCGCATTGGAATGAGTGTGGCTGTGTGTATTTACACATAAATAGTTGTAGCAGATTAACACTCACAGCACGCACGCAAACTACATGCATCAACAGGTTGGCCTGGGATGAGATGATTAGAGCGAGGATTGAATTAATCTCTGCTGTGATTGGCCGCTGCCTAATAACTCTTACTGCGAGGAAGTGACACAGCAGGCTGTGGGGGATCGGCGTGCACGCCCATCCGAGAGTCCTGCAGACACTCACGTCTCAGTGCTCTGCTGGGCACTCGGGTCCTGGAGATCGTGTGGATGCTACTTTAGCACGTCACCCACCTAAACATCGCTACAGAGCAGTCGCAGTCGCCACAGATGGTAAAGACTCTCCCCAACAGCAGCAGCCCAAAGAGCCCACAGTGTTTACCCAGCCTCCAATCTGAGCCTGTGACCTGCTCCATAGAGCAGAGGTCCAGAGTCGTTACCCTGAGGAGAGCACGCTGACACCTCTGCACAGTTTGTGTTTATCTTCTTCCTGAGTTATCGCTCATCGTCACAGATCATGAGGTTACCTCTGGCCCCACCCACTAACTTTTAATGCTGTGGCTGTAAATCATGTCATTTGTCCACTGTTAAGAAACCCCAAAGCACCTCCATGATATACCTCACAGACACACTGCGAGCTCTGTGCGAGTAGTTTGGTTTGATTTGATCTTTTACGCGTCTATAATTTTTTTAAAAGAAGTGGCGTCAGTGATCATCTTTAAAGGGCCAGTTCACCAAATCAGAGAAGCTACAAAGGCAGAAAGGAAAGAGGAGAGCGAGGAGTCGCTATCAAAGGTAACTTCAAACACCTGTTGATGTGCTGGCCTGTAACCTCGTCCTGTCAGGTGCAAATAGGCTGATTTACATCTTCATTTATCATCCTCCATTAAACAGATAATGGTGTGAATCAGCTAAACAGTAACCGTGTGCAGCCACAGTGATGACTACACTGTCAACACGTTTGGACACAAAGATTGTTTTTTTTTTAACCCCCAAAAAATATTTTGGTGTGTTTAAAGATTTGAGACTTTTAAAATCGTTTTACTTCTAAATAATCTGCATCATCATCTCAAACCTGAGCTGGCTTCCAGTACCTGAGAGCTCCCGAGAGTGCAAACTGGTTTCTCACAGGAACAAAAACACTTTTTTATGCATCACTTCCTGTTGTTTTTCAGCCTAAACAGTCTCTGATAGAAACAGTGCATCATGAGCTGCGTGTCAGGCAAAGACAGCAGGAAAGAGGCTCCAGACCCAGTTTAAACCTCTGAAACCGTCTACCATCTGTTTACAACATTATTTGTTTATTAAATAACATCATTGACCTTTAATCAGTTCCATAGGATATAAACACATGACCGGGGGTCAGCAAAGGCTCACATCTGGATTACCTGTAATAGCACAGCAAAGTAAGTCAGAGGTAAACCGGTCAATAACAGAGGCTACGGTGCTTAGGGTAGGTAGGTAGAGATTAGGGTGAGTCAGGTGTGAGCCGTGCTGATGGGCTCCTTTAATCACCTTCATTATTAAAAGTGAACATTTTGGAACAGTAACAAACATCACACCTGCGCTGGGCCTCCTGAGCTCCTCCTGTGCGGAAATATAATCTGTGAATGAGCTCCATTAAAACTAAACACACCCCAGGAGACCAATCAGGACTCAGCTCTGAATGATGCAGGAGGGGGGAGGGGTGTACCTGCTCTCTACAGGTACACCCGGCGGAGACCCGGTGACACGGCACGCGGCACTCGTGTGATTAGTCAGCGCCCCCCGGTGAAGCGCTGACGTCACGGTGGTCTTCGCACACTTCACGGCCTCATAAACGACAAAGTCGCGCGCTGTGGACGGACTCACAACAGTCCTCCCGACCACGTCACGCACCCTGACGTGGAGCACGCGGGGTTAGAGCTCTGCGCGCTCCCGCCATCATTTCATCTGATCCTGAACAACATGTCGACGCATCAACAGGTTCCGTCACCGCGACTGATCCACGAGACACCTGCGTGTCGCAGGAACCTCACACCCACAGACTCACACAGACTCACACTGCTGAAGACACGGATCCTGGCTTAATTTTTCATCATTTCAAACACGCGACCAGTTCGTGTGTGCGCGTGTGTCCGTGTGCGTGTGTTTCGTCTTACCGTCAGTTGTCGGCAGGCTCGTGCACGGCGGACAGCTCCCAGGTGCTGAAATGCGTCCAGCTCACCGTCATCCGACAGAGGTAGGAGCAGCAGCTGCGCTGATTGGTCCCTGGGAGGCCGGTCTGTGATCAGCTATTGGCTGTCCGGGCTGTCAGTCAGAGTGTCCGCGGTGTAAATCAGTGACGGGAACCTCTCGTTTATTTAGATTTATTGTTAAATATTTACACATTTCACAACAACAGGAGTTTTATACTGACCCACAACATTCAGATGATCCTCTGGGAGCAAAACACGCATTGTACAAGAATGTTCGCAATAAACAGAAATTAATTCTTATATAAAAGGAAGCGCTTGGCAACGGTGGAAAGGAAGAACTCCATTTAAACAGGAAGAGACCTCCAGCCGTTTACCGGGGTCAAAATAAAACTGGATTGTTTTTTCTTAACTTGTCATTCATCCAACCACCTATTCTGTGCAGAGCAGCAAGCTGAGCAGGTATTTCAGACACTTCTCCTCAGCAACACCTTCCAGTTCTGAGTGGTGGTGAAGTGCTCCCAGGCCACGCCCACATTATAACCTCTCCTAGGATGACGCTGGGTGCCAGCCTTTAATTTGTCATTGCAGATATTTTGTTTTCAGCTGCTTCAGACAGAACAGTGACTGCACATCACATGTTAGAGGCCCTGTGATTGGTCCGTCTGTCGTCACTCTAAGTTACATCAGTTGACTGATTTTTGGAGAATCTGTTTAAAGGACTGAAGCTGTCATGGATGTTTTTACCACTGATTCTAAAATGATGAAAAATCATGTTGTAAACATGGGTCACAAGTACTTAAACCCACCTGAGTGTCATTGCTACACTGGCTGATTTTTAACATTGCAGTGAGTCTGCTGCTGCACAATGAGCCTCATTCTGCTTACATTCATTTCTTCATCATCTACCCACTCAGACTGCCCCCCCCCCCCAGTCATGTGAGCTTTAGACACACAGCAGTCTACACTTATAGGCAATATACAAAATTTTATTACAAAAAGAAAAATCCGTTCTACATGTTTTCAAAGTTCCACATTAAAAATGACGGCAAACATTTTTCTTTTAACCAAACTACAGATAAATCCTGGCAGTAAAATGACAGTGAAGAAACGGCACCGCTGGAACAGAAAACATGAGCAGTGCTTCCAGAAACAATCATTCTTAAAATAAAAAAAAAAACAAACAAAGAAAAGAAAAGAAAACGTTTCCTGGCTGGCTGCTGTCCACCGTCTGCACAGGAGTTTCAGTTCATCGCATCATCACAGGAAATAATCTGGCTGCACGTTTTTTAAACCAGGATCTAAGGTGTAACAGACCCGACTTCAGCAGTTGTAAAACAAAAATAAAACTTAAAGGGGACTAAGGGACAATAAAAACTAAATCCCTGAATTAGAAGAAGAGGAGTACAGGTCGAGCGAGGCCGACCGACAGGGACAGCAGGCTATACCGTTGGACGAGTCCAACCCAAAAAACAAACATAAGCTGAACAACGCAAACTTCACATCCTCAAACACAGAAACCACTTAGTCATCATCCTCATCGTCGTCATCTTCATCCTCTTCCTCCTCGTCTTCATCATCGTCATCATCATCATCAGCCGGTACAGCCTTCTTGGCGGCGGGCCTGCCGGGCCCGCTCTTCTTTCCAGCGTCGCTCTTCCCAGAGCCGCCCTTGGCTCTGTAGGCAGCAACGTCCTGGAAAAGGAGAAGAGGAGACACGTTAGGAACGCCACCTCAGAGACACGCTACACCATCCAACACCACCCGAAAACACAGGGGCACCTTCTCGTATTTCTCCTTCAGTCTGGCGGCTTTAGCCTCATAGGGGGCCTTGTCTTTGGCGCCCTGCGTGGCCCACATCTCGCCAAGCTTCTTGGCGATGTCGCCGATGGAGATCCCAGGGTTATCCTCCTTGATCTTGGGACGGTGGTCGGAGCAGAAGACGAAGAAAGCGGAGCTGAAGGGAAAACAAATTTAATCCCAAGAATCTAACTGAAAACATTTTACAGACAAAGAGCAGCGAGTGTAGACTCACGGGGGCCTTTTGGGGGCGTTGGGGTCCTTCTTCTTCTTCCCCTTCTTGGCACCTTTAGGTGGCACGTAGGACTTCATCTCCCGGTCATATCGGACCTTATCGTTCTTGGCCATCTCTTCAAACTTTCCCTTCTCCTTGGGGGACATGGTCTACCACACACACACACACACACACACACAAATTAATTTTTAAAAAGGGGCAAATAAAATAAAAAAATAAAATAAAAAATATCAGAACATCAGTGCTTATAATAAACCGCGGGGCTCACCTTCCATCTTTCTGAGCACTTCTTGGAAAACTCTGCGAAGTTCACGCTGGTCCCTGGGTGCTTCTTCTTGTGCTCCTCGCGGCAGGTCGCCACAAAGAAAGCGTAGGAGGAGGTTTTTCCTCTCGGCTTATTCGGATCCTTTGTCATGGCTGCGATTAATCTGCAAAATAAAGACCAGAAAGAAAACCAGAAATGAAACCAAAAACTAAACCACCAAAACGACTCCGAGTTTCGTATTACACGCCCACCCCGGCACAATAACCGCTCCCTGGCCTCACCGTTTTAAATTAAAGCGGGTAATATCCTCACATTTGCCGTCGTGTGGCCGTAAGTGGTGTTACCGCAGCAGAAATAGGGCGAGCAGACGCCCGGGAGTGTTTTAAGGCTCTAATCGGCTTTCTGCCTCTCCGGGACAAAAAGACGCGACTCCATTTTGTATCTTCCCGCCTAAACACAACTGCGCCAAAAACTTCCCCAACAAAGTCTCTGCAATACAGCCGCTCCGCTACACTGCGAGCAGTTCCCCGGGTTTCTGCCTTTAAACACGTGTAGCCAGCACCCAGAGCGACTCCGAGACAGCCGGAGACTTCATCCAAACTTTAAAAAGAGAGGCGCTTCCGTCGTGCTGCGAGCTAAGCTACCAAACCAAATGGCGTTTGAACGGCATGTTGCGCACTAAGTCGGACACACACTGAGCTACTACAGCACCATCTTACAGAGCACCAAGCAAGAAAAACACCCCACAAAACTGATGCTTTTCGGTTTTAAACAGCAGCGAACTGCTTGCTTTTTCACAAACACCGTTTTGATATTGCTGTGATTTATCACGCAAACGACCTACGGGCCAAAAAACACAGATGTATTTTTACCGCACAAAGGTTAAAATAGCCCCAGAAACTTCGGCACACACCATTGCAAAACAACAAACAAAGCACAAACACCTTCCAGCCACTGTTTGCTAAACAATCATTAGACAGCAGAGGGGCCTTACCTGTTCACCGCAAGACGAGCTGTAAACGAGTGAAGGAGGAAGGACGGTCAACTGTTTAGTCACCGTCTGCGAGGCCGCACTAACTATACTATCGAGTCTCACACAGATCCGTCCCCCCAGCAGCGGATTGGCGGAAATCGTGTATTTAAATTTGAACGCAGGGCACACAGCGCAGTCGCGGATGTGATTGGTTGTTTTTCTAGAAGTCAAGCCGTAGGGTTTGTGTGCGTCACCTGCAAGCTGATTGGCTGCTCCCGGGCTTTTAAACATAGGGCGCGAAAAAGCCCCTCTTTGTTCACTGCTGTTCCAAAATAACCTCCGTCTGCTGATGACGTCGCTTAACCGTTTGTTTTCGAGATGAGAGCGAAAGGAGCCGATCCGCTCCGAGGCTGCAGCTCTTCCGCTTCTAGCAACCAGTGACGAGACGATACAAACAAAACTGCTCATTTGATTTTTAACGGGCGCTGACGGATGTCAACACTTTCCAGAAAACCGACAATAACTTCCGGCTGCAGACTTTAACTGCAAACGTGACGTTTTAATATTCATTAAATATTGGACATCCTGTTTTAAGATGGCTCCCGTTTATGACTGTGCAAGTAGAAATGCAATCTAAGCATAAAACACCTATAATCTATTGTAGAATAAATCTATTATAAAGCAAGAGAGTCAAACATAAGGTCAGGGGCCGAAACCGGCCCCAAGGAGTCCAATCCGGCCCGGCAAATATGGGCAAAGGTCCAAACTAAAGCAAAGTAATTAAGTACCAGATAAACAATAAAGATTAAAGCTACCAGAACCTTTTGTTTGTATTTTTAACCTTTTGTATTTCTTATTTCTTCTTTATCCTGTAGAAACACAGAGACGCACTGCTGACTCTCCCCTTCTTCTTATATTAGATGGAATCAAATTCAACATCTTTATGTTAACAGAAAAGAGTTTTGCTGGCTCGGTCTAACATAAGAACAAAGTAGGCCGCGTGCAGCAATGAATGTAAGTTCAGTGAAAGAGTATGGAAGCTGTTTGGTATGCAGAGCAATGCAGTGAGGGCAAGACATGCACAGCTGTTTATGCAAAAGCAGGCCTGCTGTAACAAAGAAAAAAATGAAACACCAAAATCACATCAGTTTGGTGATGAGCATCTCACATGTGCATTAGAACGTCTCACTGCTTTTACAGAGGAACAAAAGGAGGTAGCAACACACACACACACACACACACACACACACACACACACACACACACACACACACACACACACACACACACACTGCAAACCAGGTTATTAAATATAAATGCAAAGATTTTAAACTTTAAGACTGCAGACTGGCAGTTATCTAAGAGTGAATGAAAAATAAGGGACAAAAATATTAAAGGAGTAGTCAGAAAGGAGGAAATAGTCGCAGTGATCCTCAGACGGAGCACGGAAACCTGAGGCTCTCTCCACCTGAAATGTTCCTCAACGTTTAAAGAATTATATGCATCAAGCTTCATTCTGACGGCCACTATGAGGTAGTGCATTTAAATAGATTGATACTTGTAAGGTCTGAAAGTATTTCCCCTCAATGTTTCATCTCCATCACCACTTTGCACAATTCTCCCAAACATCTGGATTTTCTTCTCGAATCATAATCCTGAACGTGTTTCATGCTTTCAGAGGGGATTTCTCACAGTGAGGGGAAACTTTGAGCAGAGATAAATCCACGATGAGTCACGAACAGATCATTTAAAACAGTTTCAGCTCTGACCCTCCACAGAGGTGATTAAAGTTGATTTACAGGCTCCTTGACTGAGAAGTTGGGGGTGACCTGTGTGAGCCGGGGGTTCACACCTCACAGTTAATCAGGAGGTCGTCTGTATGTAAAGTTGGGGGGTCGCTGGGAGGCAAATACATGTCAATGAAACACTTCTGAACCACTTTTTCTCCTTTTGTTGTCCTCGTGCGCCCCACCTAACTGCAAACAGCATGCAGGACACGCTTTTAACACCATTACTTCTTTAGTTTTTATTGTAAAAGGCGGCATTTGAGAACGGCCTCCATATTTTATTTAGTAACCCTGCTGTGCTGATTGGCAGACGTTTGTACTTTGAGCTCTTTGAGTTCATTTCCATTAGAACTGTGCTTCTTCTTTTCAGTGACTTTCACATGGCTGAGCCTTGATTTCTTATATTGGTTGAACTTTTTCTAATTTATTTGAGATATTTTGTTTTAGGTTCTGTTTAATGATTTAGCTGATGTAACAAATTACCAAACTGACATACATCTAAAGCAAATATCAGGACTGAAAACAGGCCTCAAAGCTCACAGGTAGAAGTGTTGTAATTTTCTGTTTCATTAAAGACTTTGTGTCCCAACATCTGTGTGTTGTGTTGAAGCGATATCAAATGAAGACAAACCCTGTTGCACAACCCTGGGCTCATAATTTACTCATTTTCCTGAGCAGCTGTGCAAAATTGAACAGGAAAAATGTTCCTGGTCCAACATTAAACTCTAACGTAGCTGAAAAGACACGGGTTTGGTTCATGAGCCAAAAGCACACGATGAAGAGGAGGAAGTGTGGAGACAAGAGAGTCCAAACTAAACTCACCAAACACACAAAGGAATTTTAAATTGTTTTTATTTATCTACAGCTGCAGCCTGTGTTTAATTACAATTGTAATTTCACAACAGTTTAAAGTTAATTTGTTTAATCTTTTACGCAGATACTGCAAAGCATCAGCAGGTGGCAGCACTGTGCGTCTGTCAGTCTGGTACACACCCAAGAAGAAGAAGAGAAGAACCGTGGTTGTAGTTCTAAGCGGCGGGCAGGTAGTGTAGGGAGAACCGAGCTGCTCTTTACGGAACACCGGCAGAGGAGGCGAGCCCACTCGGAGCAGCGGGGAGGCGGTCAGCGTGTCTGTGTGGGTCCGGGAGCGGAGGGAAGATGAGTGACGCCGGTGTGGACACGAGCACGCTCTGCCTCTTTGACGTTGACGGCACGCTTACGGCCGCGAGACAGGTGGGAAATGTGTGCGTGCTTGTGTATATGTCCGCGCGCGCGAGGGCAAGACCACTGGTGATATAAAACAATCAGTGCACCTGACAAACCTTCAGACAAACATGACTGTACTGTCCGACACTGCGACTTCCGGCTCCACGTTGATATTGTAGTTCTTCCGCAGGCAAAAATGCTCCGCAGAAACTACGTAACAATGGTTCCGCTAAGCGACGTTAGCCAGTATGGGCGGACTGCCAGTGCCAAACATCTTTATAATAATGATATTAATAAAATAATAATCTCTGACAGTGTAACGTTATCGCTGTGGTTACTAAACATAGAAGATATTAGGTGACGCATGTAACGGTAAATTACGTCTTGCTAGCGTTTTGCTATAACAGGAAGTGTCTGACGGAACGTCAAATGTGAAACACGAGTTTACGATTTGGAAAAAAAATCATCAAACTATTAATTACATTTATATCCGTGGTGTGTATAATCACTGTCGTCACCTCCTAAATATACACCCTTCACGTGGCCATTGATTACGTAGGTGACGCTCGTGCTAATCGTGTTCCCGGTAGTTTCTGCTAGCGTGTCACTAATCCCCGGGTTAAGCGCCCCCTAACGGCCCTGCAAGGTTACGTGTTTGGCCTGTTCTTCCAGCAGAGTCACTCATGTTTAAAATGTTCTTTAGGAGGTAACCCTGACCTCTGACCCATGCAGACTGCTTTAGGTGAAGGTTTAGGTGGAGCAGGGGTCATGACCCCGAGACTCTTGGTTTCAGTATAGCCCTGCGTGTGTGCACAGCTGTTCAGTTTTACTGCAAACATTTGTAAAAGGTTGCAAACTTTTCATCCTGTGATTTAAAAAATGTGACGTCATTGAAATGAAAATGCAAAGTAAGACGAACCGAGTAGTGATGAATGGCCAACAGGGTACACTCAGCAGGCACACCTGTTCAAGTGCTTAATAACGCAAATATTTTAATCCACCAATCATGTGTCAGACACTCAGTGTATCTATGCATGTGAACATGATGAAGATGAGCTGCTGAAGTTCAGCCTGAGCATCAGAAAGACTATTTCAGAGACTTTAAAGAGAGCCCTCTCTGTTTACAACAAGCAGTCCAGTGAGCAACAGTTCTCACCTCGCTGATGTCAGAGCAGCCAGACTGATTGTATACATGCTGATGAATGCAGAGGAACATCTCTGAACAACATGGCGAGCCATGAAGCAGCAGAAGACCGCACGGGTCCCCCTCCTGTCAGCCACGAACAGGAAACTGATCATTCCTGGTTTGATGTGCATCACATGGTCAGTGTTTGGTGTAAACACCATAAAAGCATGTGTGATGATGTCATAATGATGATGCAAAACATTCAATTAAAAAAGATTAAAGTAAATTAAAACGGGAGCTCGGGCCTAACTGCGAGTGCAGTAAAGGTTGCAGACTTGCTGTTTCAGGAGAACTTGGACTCTTCACTGAAGCTGGAGTTGAATATCAGCAGACGGGTAAACTGCTGATGTCGTCAGATTTCCTTTTTTTTGCAGAAACGTCGGCGTTTATAACTGTAGTGACGGAGACGTTGATCTCGTCAGTCGAAGGCTTCTCGTGTTTTACTGTGTGCAGCGTTTTTAAATCTTTAATAAACTGATTGTTACTGAAAGTTTCACAACCGCAGCGTTTCACAGCGTTTGTTTCCTGTGTTGCGACACACCTGACCAGTTTGAAATCAATGTTTTTGGGGAAAAGAGGAAGGTTCAGTGAGCCGCTGCTGTGCTTGTGCAGCACACAGAACGGGTAAGCATCACTGCATAAAGAAGAGGGAAGCAGCTGAGCCTGTGCCGGCCGGGAGTCCTGGCTGAGTGCAGGGATGTCAAACATAAGACTCGGGGGCCAGAATTGGCCCATCAGACTCCAGTTCACCCCGTGGTGGTTTGGAAAATATGAACAAGGGCATAAATATTTGGGCTTAATTAGTTGTGCAGCTTTTCCTGCTGATAGACCCTCCACAGCATCCAGACCACAGCGAGGTGGCTCAACAAAAGATGAATAAATGACAGAAGATAAACAAAGCTGCGAGTCGTAGACTCTGTGTCCGTCATGGCGGTAAATGTGGGGCGTGTCACTGTGTGTTTTCAGCGGGTGACCCCGGACATGGCAGAGTTCCTCCTGAAGCTGAGGACTCGGGTTCGGGTCGGCGTCGTCGGAGGGTCCGACCTCAGCAAGATCAAGGAGCAGCTGGGAGACGACGGTGAGACGAACGCCGCTCTGTATCCTGTCTGATACTGTCCCTTTATTTGCACGCAGCTTATACCAGAGAGATGATAACGCTTGTTGGTCTCGGTTCTGTGTGCAGTGATCCAGAAGGTGGACTACGTGTTTGCTGAGAACGGCCTGGTGGCGTATAAGAGCGGACAGTTACACTCTGTGCAGGTGAGACGGAGTTTTACCTTTTTATGTAACTGATCTGGAATCAGCATGTAAAGAAGCAGCTGAGGAGCAAAGTCAGTGACATCATCAGCCTGAGAGGGTGACGGAGACATTTCTCAGGCTGTGGGACTCCAGCGACCCACGCTGAGAGCCTGGGAACCATCGCCGACTCATCCAGGAGGTCACAGAAGAGCCCAGAACAACATCTATTAAGCTCAGCTAGGGTCAGAGGTCACGACTCAACAGTAAGAAAGAGGCGGGGCAAAGATGGGAGAGTCCACGCAGAAACCACTGCTGACCAAGAAGATCACAAAGTCTCGTCGCACATCTGCCAACAAACGTCTGGAGGATGATATTCTGAGGGCTGACGAGACAGAAGCTGAACTTTCTGAAGCTTTGAGTCACGTGTGCATCAGACTAACCACGCAGGAACCAGCAGCTCCGCCTCTGATTGGCTCAAAGGGACAAAATAAAGGTTCTGGAGCGTCCGAGTCAAAGTCTGGACTTAAACCAGACTCAGATGCTTTGATGCTGGAAACCCTCCAGTGAGACAAACAGCAGGTATCAGGTTACACTCAGGACAGGCAGGTGTGGATACCTTATAGTGTGTGCGCGCGCGCGGGGGTGTGTGTGTGTGTCGTTTCAGCCATGTGTGTGTGTGTGTGTGTGGTGTGTGATAGTGTGTTGTGTGTGTGTGTGTGTGTGTCTAGTCCATTCAGGCCCACATGGGGGAGGAGCTGCTGCAAGACTTCATAAACTTCTGTCTGAACTACATGGCCAAGATCAAACTGCCCAAGAAAAGGTGACAGCACATCCGTGTGTTGGTTAGCGTGTGTGTAACAGCCTGGCAGGGGGGTGGAGGGCGTGTCGGTGTGAGGGCATGTCGGTCGGAGGGCGTGTCGGTTTGATCCAGCAGACGGGTTTAAACAGTGAAAAGTTTCTTTAACCTCCTCAGACCTGAACTCTTCCACAGCAGCATTTTTAATTTCTCTTTGATATTTGGTCACATTGGGACCTGATAATGGATTGGATCTATAAAGCGCTTTACAATGCCACTATTCAGTCACTCTCACATTCACACACTGGTGGAGGCAGCTACAGGTGTAGCCACAGCTGCCCTGGGGCAGACTGACAGAGGCGAGGCTGCCATATCGAATGTAAAAACAAAGAATTACCAGATTTTTTTTTTTTTACTTAAAGAAAAATCAGAGCCACTATGAGGATATTCGTTTAAATTTGTAGAACAGTAGCAGTATAACGTCCTCGTAAGTGGAATCAGGCCCTTGTAGACCAAAATTGAGTATTTTGGTCTAAATAACCCAAAATGTGATGTCCACATATGTGGACGCAGGTCCGAGGAGGTTAAAGATCCACGTTATAACACGCCGTTCTTACCTTTGGGGCTGTGGGCGTGGCTCAGCTGTGAGAGGATGCAGTGTAAACCGTTTAAACTGTAAAAGTGCTCGCCATGAAACCGTGAGGGTTTCAGGTGTGTTACCCGTGAGGTCAAAAGGTCAGAATCACTGCATGTATCAGGACTGTGGCGGTTCTGCGGTGGGCGTCATGTGACTCTGTGTCGTCTCTCAGGGGGACCTTCGTGGAGTTTCGTAACGGGATGCTGAACGTGTCTCCGATCGGACGCAGCTGCACGCAAGAGGAGCGGATCGAGTTCTACGAGCTGGACAAGGTAACGCCCACGTGCTGACCCTAAACCCCGGCTCCACCCGCCTCCTCCACCTGTAATTAACAAAAATGTCTGCTTGTGGTACATTTGGTAGGTTTTGAGCTTGTTCTCATTTAAAATGTACTGACGAGGTAAAAGTCCTGTTTGGTTCTTTCGCTGTGAAGCTGAAGCTGCTGCTGAAATGAAGACGGTGGTGTTTGTTTCCTACAGAAGGAGAAAATCCGAGAGACGTTTGTGTCCGTGTTGCAGGAGGAGTTCAAAGGAAAAGGACTCTCGTTTTCCATCGGTGAGTCTGCTGCAGCCGGCACGCCGCCGTGGCTGTCCTACCTCACTGTGATGCCAATGGCGCCTTCGTTTCCTGCAGCCTGTCGGTCTTTGTGTGTCCGCAGGAGGTCAGATCAGCTTTGACGTGTTTCCTGACGGCTGGGATAAAAGGTACTGCCTCGGCATCGTGGAGAAGGACGACTACTCCACCATCCACTTCTTTGGAGACAAGACCAAACCTGTGAGTATGCAAACTGTGTCACGTGACTCCTCACGGAGGCAGAATATCAGCGGCAGGTAAACGATGGCCGGTCGGGTCAAAGAGTCGTTCCTGGAAACATCTGTTTCATTATTCCTGAAATGCAGCTGGATCCAGCAGCAAGCTGAACACCGCAGCTCCTGTAGTGTCCAGCAGGGGCAGCAGTGAGTCCGTCCCCGTGTTAAACGAACTGTTTACAGCCCGAGACCAAAAAAAGAAATCGATAGATTCTTTCTGTCATCACAAAGTCTGTGCAGGTGGAGAAAACGACAGGTAGGAAGGTAACAGGTCAGGTTGTCACAGCAACAGAAAGATAATTATTCTGTAAGTAACTTTAAGCAGTGCAGTAACTCTGAGAATGTAATCTTACATCATAAGTACTTGTAATGAGTGGCTTATGACACCTGTCTCCGTATTCTAGCGGGGCTGACTTTAAGTATTTATGTGTTTAATAGATAAATACTAATAATACTTATACTGTCATTGCAGGGAGCTACGCCCTTAGTTTGTACCCAGAACATCAGTGCAGCATGTCTGTGTGAGCATGTCCACTGTAGAGAGTAAACGGTGTGTTATAGAGCAGGACGCCGTTTACATCGCGGGCCACATTCAGCACACCTGAGTGGGCGGGGCCGCTGAAACGCCCCTGACGGCACAGTCAGGTTACTCCGACTGTGATCCTCCTGTGAGGTCACTCAGAGGAGTTTCCGCTGTGAATGTTCGAGTCTTCATCGGCCCCCAGGCCTTATGTTTAACACCCCTGGTGCAGACAGATGAATCTTCGGTCCTCAGACCGGCCGGCAGGGTCTGAATGTCTCGTTGTTTCATGTTTTTACGGCTCAGGGTGGAACTTGACCTGTTTCAAACATCTGGCGTGTTCAGTGGTCACCGTGCAACACTTGCAGCTGTTTGACGCTGTGTTTGAAGGACACACAGATGTGCGACTGTCAACCTGCAGCGAGTTTGGGGCCAAACTTTTCCACCAACCTCGTTTAACGTGCCGCTTCGTTGAGTCGTGAGCTGCAGCACGGCTCATCTTTCTGTGCGTCTCTGTCTTCACGTCAGGGAGGAAACGATTACGAGATCTACTGCGACCCCCGGACCGTCGGCCACGAGGTGTCCAGCCCGGAGGAGACGCGGCGCCTGTGCGAGCAGCTCTTCTTCTCCTGAGCTCAAACGCCTGCCAGCTGTGACTGTGCGTCACCTATGACAACAGACGGGAGGAGGAGCTGATGAACGCTGACGTGACTTTTTGATTGTAGCTGCTTGTTTGGTCGGGGTTGGTGGGTTTGTCTTTCTGTGATCTGTGTGTTTGATTCCACGGGACCCGCTGAGCCTCCGCGTACGGAGGACTGTTTGGGGAAGCCCCTGCAGCCTCACGCTGTGGGCGGAGTGAGGAAGTGGGCGGAGCAATGACACGCAGCTGTGGTTTACCATCCTCCTGTCTGAGTGTAAATAAAGGTGGATGACATCACAGCTGTACTGGAACGGTTCGCCACTCTGTTGCCCATCTTTGTTATACAGTCTGTGTTTCCAGGAGTAAAGTAGCAGCTGATCCTGTTACGACGAAGCCGTTTTATGCAACGTGGAAAATCATAGCCATGCTTTAAATAATAATCATGTGATGTTTCTGTACATGACGACGTTACTGTTAACAGCGAGGGGAATAAAAGGGGGCCGACGCTCTGAAACGCGACTCGTTCTTACGCAGCTAACGGGAAGGACGTGGATTTGAAAAGGACGAATCATAGAGATTAATCTATAATCTTCATCTATTCACTTGATTCTCCTTTATTTTGAAAAACCTGTTTTTAAATTTTCAAAATAATATTTTTAACAAAGATTTTTGAGTGATTCGATGTTTTTTTTTTATATAAATCCATTTTCCTTTCAGCTTTTAATAGTTCCTTAATTACTTTATTTAGATAATAATAATTTATAATTGGAATTACTAATGCATATTTTATTGCCCCAATTAATTATTAACTCATGAAATGTTTAGACTTTCTTGGTCCTCCATATTTATTAAACTTGTCTCGTAATTTAACGATTGCATTCGATACATCACCAGAAGCTACATCCATCTTTGATATACAGTCTGTGTTTCTGTGAGCTTGCCTGAAGCTGAAAATGTTTATTTGCATGATTTAATTTTCCAGGATTATAAACACATAAAGGAATAAACTTAGATATTAAATTTGGAAGATTCAATATTCAGTTACATTAAATTACTTGGATACTTCCTCATCTACAGAAGTTGAACATCTGTGAACATCTGCATGTTTCCTTCCACCAGCTGTGCTGCATCACTGACATCAGTGATGTTGTGATGGTTCATAAACTTCCTGCTGCAGGACGGTGGCTGCGCTGACGTTCAGTGTTTGAAACGTGGACTGTAAAATGTAATCTGATTACAAATGTGGAATAAGAAAAAGGTTTGGCCTTATGCTGACTCCTGATTGGAGGAGAGCTGCGTGCTCCTGCGTTTAAATGATGATGGAAATGAAAATATCCGTTTTCTTGTTTTTCCTGCTGCAGCTTTTTATTGGTCGATCGTCTGTCGTCAATAAAAGGTCATTTTCTGTTAGAGCTTTAAAACCAGACTGAGACACCGCTCTGACCTTTAACCTCTGACCTCCTCCAGCAGTTCACACATTGGGAGAAATCCTAACTTTGCATATTTAATGAAGTAATACAATGTTCTTTGTCATAATTATTTTCTGTGGACCATCAAATTATGTTTAATCCACATCGTTTGAGCCTTCGCAGCTTCATCGCCACAGGAGACAGAAATGCGACGTTTCAGATAGAAGCTCGTGGAGCAGCTGCACGCTCACATCAGTACAGCCACGAGAAACGGGGCTACCAAAAACCTTCTCATTTAGAGCTGTTTCACATTACTCCCACATGGAGGCGCTGTAGGGCTGGTCTTCCAGGTAGGATCGCTCCTCATGGAGGCTAAACATGCGACGGGGCAAACCAAAGACACCTCTGACCTCCTGCACCCATGAGTGTTAAATAAAACTTAAATCGGATGTTTCCTGTTTAAACTTCATGTTTTTGCAGTGAACTCTCAAAGATCAGAGCAGCAGCTTGTTTCTGCTCACCGAGTGAAACCTGTGAAAACTGCTGCTGTCAGACTAAAGAAGGGCCTGCGTCTGAAGCTCGTCTTGTTTCAGGTGTGCAGCTGTGATCAGTGCAAACCTACCAAAGGAAACCTGACAAAAAACAGCAGGAAGTGTTTGTCAGGGCGGATGAAGCTTCTCGGAGTAACATAAGCTTTAGTTGAAACCATTTCATCTTCAAACACGAGTCTTTGTCAACACCTGACTCAGATACTGGTGAGTGCAGCGGTTTGTAAACTCAATGTTTCAGGTTGGGGATTAAACCAACAGCTTTGTAGAGCGTGCTCTGATTGTAGCTGTCAGACTCATTCAGAGAGGGCAGCTTCGTTCTTGCTGCAGTGAGTAAGATGATGTTCAGGGCTTTGGTCACAGTGTGGCGGTACCTTCAGTGGTGGCACTACACTGACTTTTACATTTGTCAGCTTATCAGGTACAAAATCTGAACACTGGGTTTTCAAAGTATGTTAAAGCTGTGAATGCACCAACCAAATGAAAAAACAGAGTAGAAGATACAGAGTGAGGTCAAATTTCAAATGAGCAAATAAGAAAAATGTCAATTTTCACTCAGTCTGAGACGTAAAAGATAAAAACCTCATATAATTAGTAAAAAGTGAAGATTAAACTGTTTTACCTGAGCTGACGGTATGTTTGCCTGCAGCAGTCAAAACACGTGTTTATGGTCACATGCCTGTCAAACCAACACACTTTTGAAGTCATTTATGGGGCGCATGACAGGAAGTTCACTTCACAGATCACGACAAGGTGCCTATATCATGGTCATGTGATAATACAGAGAAAACCCAATTTGGCAACAGTGGGAAGGAAATACTCACTTTTAACCGCGGGTTAGGGTTGATGGGAGGAAGTGAGCACCGAGACACACTGTGGGAGAGCCAGAGATGAATAATAACTGAAATGCAGAGTGGCATATAAACCACAGGCCCCCAGCAGCCTAAACCTATTGCAGCATAACTAAGGGAGGATTCAGGGTCACCTGGTCCAGCCCTAACTATATGCTTTAGCAAAAAGGAAAGTTTGAAGCCTAATCTTGAAAGTAGAGATAGTGTCTGTCTCCTGAATCCAAACTGGAAGCTGGTTCCACAGAAGAGGGCCTGAAAACTGAAGGCTCTGCCTCCCATTCTACTTTTAAATACTCTAGGAACAACAAGTAGGCCTGCAGAGCGAGAGCGAAGTGCTCTAATAGGGTGATATGGTACTACAAGGTCATTAAGATAAGATGGGGCCTGATTATTTAAGACCTTGTATGTGAGGAGCAGGATTTTGAATTAGGCGAATGTCTGAACCACCACAACTCTCTGCTTTTCATGTGGAGAAGTAGCGAGTAACCAGCCCCCCTTTGGAGAAAGCTCATTTCTGTAGCTTGTGTCTACAGTCGTTGTCTTTCAGTTGCTGCCCAGAGTTCTTGACTATGGGAGAGGCTGAAGACTATGAGACGGTCCCAAAGCACCCCCAGCCTCTGAGGGATGTCGCTGTATGTCGTCTCCAATTCCACAGTTGTAGACTAGATGGACAAACTCACACACACTTGAACTGAGGATGATATCTGCATTGTTCCTTGTGTGTCTGAGGTTAAACTATAAATGCACAAACTCTACTTTCCAGTACGCTAGCCTCCCAAGGAGGCTAAGGAGTGTGATCCCTCTGTAGTTGAAGGACACTGTCCGATCCCCCTTCTTAAAGAACAACCATCCCAGTCTGCCAATCCAGAGGCACCACCCCACATCTCCACTGAAAGTATCATAGTGTGTCAACCATGACACGCCTACAACATCCAGGCCCTTCAGGAGCTTGGGGCGATCCTCATCCAGCCCAGGAGCCTGGCCTCCAAAGAGTTGTTTCACTGTGCCGGTGACCTCACCCTCAGAGATGGTCGAGTAATTCCCAGCCCCTGCCTCATAGAGGATCAATCAGTGGCATTCGGGAGGTCCTCAAAGTATGTCTTCGACCACCTGTTGAAGAGTTAGGGTTAGGACCCCACCTTGGGCTTTCCCCTCCGGAGTCGCCTGATGGTTTGCCAGAATTACTATGAGGCAGACCGAAAGTCTTTTCATTGGCCTGAATGGATTTAACAGGGAACCAGTGAAGAGAAGCCAACATGGCAGAGCCTGGTTCTGCCTCTGCCTGTTAAAAGGGAGTTTTTCCTTCCCACTGTCACCAAGTGCTTGTTCGTAGGGGGTCACCTTTTGATTTCTCTGAATCACTGCAGGCTCGTTACAGTATACAGCTGCTGTTGCTATATGAATAAAAGTGAATTTAAACTTGAAGTGAATATCTGGAGGTCACTGCTTGAACTTATGGTTGTTGTCACACTTTCATATTTCTAAACAACAATTATTTAGTTACAATATTAACTTTGACTTCTGTTCTCAGACTGCAGACATGTCTGCTGCCACCAATCTGCTGTCTGACGATGAGCTTCTGTGCCCCATCTGTCTGGATGTGTTCACTGATCCGGTCACCACACCTTGTGGACACAACTTCTGCAAAAAGTGCATCACTCAGCACTGGGATATTAATTTTCCATGTCAGTGTACAGTATGTAAAAAGGCGTTTCCCAATAGACCTCAGCTGAGGGTGAACACTTTGCTGTCTGAGATGGTTGCTCAGAGACGAAGCTCGCAGAACCAGGAGAAGTTCCCTGTGACGTCTGCACTGGAACCAGACTGAAGGCCCTGAAGTCCTGCCTGGTGTGTCTGACCTCCTACTGTCAGACTCACCTGGAGCCTCATCTGACAGCTACAAGTCTGAAAAGACATCAGCTGATTGAGCCTGCGGAGAACCTGGAAGGCAGGATGTGTAGGAAGCACGATAAACATCTGGAGCTGTTCTGTAAGACCGACCAGACATGTGTCTGCATGCTCTGCTCTGTTCTAGATCACAAGGCTCATGAGTTTGTTCCTCTGAGAGAAGAATATGAAGGAAAGAAGGCAGAGCTGGAGAAGACAGAGGCTGAGATTCAGCAGATGATCCAGAAGAGACGACTGAAGATTCAGGAGATCACAGAGTCGGTGAAGATGAGTAAAGATGCTGCAGACAGACAGAAAGCAGAAGGTGTTCAGGTCCTCACGGCTCTGATGGAGTCTGTTGAGAGACGCCTGAAGGAGCTCATGAAGGAGATCGAAGACAAACAGGAACTACAGAGAAACAGGCTGAAGGTCTCATCAAAGATCTGGAACAGGAAATCTCTGAGCTGATGGAGAGAAGCTCTGAGGTGGAGCAGCTCTCACGCTCTGAAGACCACCTCCACCTCCTCCAAAGCTTCTCCTCCCTGAAAGCTGCTCTATGCACCAAGGACTGGACAGAGGTCAGAGTCCGTCCACCATCATATGAGGGGACTGTGGGGAGAGCTGTGGAGACACTCAGGAAAGACATGAAGAAGCTGTTTGAGGCTGCAGAGCTGAAGAGGGTCCAGCAGGATGCAGTGGACGTGACTCTGGATCCTGATACAGCAAATCCTGACCTCATCCTGTCTGATGATGGAAAACAAGTGAATCATGGTGATGTGAGGAGGAAACTTCCAGACAACCCAGAGAGATTTTCTCAGTGTGTTTGTGTTTTAGGAGAGCAGAGTTTCTCTTCAGGCAGATTTTACTTTGAGGTTCAGGTTAAAGGAAAGACTGACTGGGCTTTAGGAGTGTCCACAGAGTCGATCAGCAGGAAGGGAAAAATCCGACTGAGACCTCAGAACGGTCTCTGGACTGTTTGTCTGAGAGACGGAAGTGAGTACAGTGCTTGTGCTGCCCCTCCGGTCCGTCTCTGTCTCCGGTCTGGTCCTGAGAAGGTGGGGGTGTTTGTGGACTATGAGGAGGGTCTGGTCTCCTTCTATGACGTAGATGCTGCAGCTCTGATCTACTCGTTCACTGGCTGCTCCTTCACAGAGAAGCTCCACCCGTACTTTTGTCCTTGTACTAGTGATGATGGTAAAAACTCTGCACCTCTGCTGATCACTGCTGTCGATCACACGAACTAGAAATCTGGTCTGATCGTGTGTGAGGAACATTTTCACTGGTGACTCTGTGGTTTTGGTCATGTTTATTTTCAGATTCTGACTGATTGGTTTTTGTTATTAAGTGCACTCACACTCACAGCCTCGTGCTGATTTTAATTCTTAAAACTATGTGAATTATTTTTTTTTACTTTGGAGGAAACTTCAATTTTACCTGAATTCAAAGGGAATATTTGGGTACTCCAGCTTCCTCCCACAGTCCACAGTGGGGTTAATGATGATTCTGAAATTCACATAAGTGTCTGTGGACCTGTACAGGGGGTATCTCGTCTTGGATAGGGTCCAGCCCCGCTGAAACCCTGGTAAGGATGAGCAGAGGTCACTGTAGACTCGTGGTTGTTGTCACACTTTGATATTTCTGAACAATCCAGACTTAACAGTTATTTAATTATAATTTTAACTTTGCAGGCTTTTATTCTCAGACTGCAGACATGTCTCATCCTGTTACATTTTATTTATCAAAGCGCCTTTAAAAACAGTCAAGGACACTGTACACAAGCAATAACAGGAACAAACATAATAAGGATAAAACGTTGAGCAAATAAATAAAATAAATTAAAGTAGCAGGATGGACAAATGTATGTGGAATAGGCTAATGTGAACAGGTGAGTTTTGAGTCTGGACTTAAAAAGAGGGAGGGAAGTGATGTTTCTTATCTCAGGAGGAAGGGATGATGGGGGCCCCACGGTGGCTAGCCGGGGGGAAGGGACGGAAAGAGAAAGAGAGGAGGAGGATGTGAGACACGGAGAAGGGATGGTGAGCTGAACCAGGTCAGAGCGGTATGAAGGCGAGAGATGATGGGTAGCCTTGAATGTGTATTTAACTGGAAGCCAGTGAAGCTGCTGCAGAGCAGGAGTGATGTGGTGCATAGAAGGAGTCCTGGTGGTGATACGAGCAGCAGAGTTCTGGACACGCTGAAGCTGATGGATAGATTTTTGACTAAGATCAAAAAGAAGAGAGTTGCAGTAATCGATCCGGAGAGTGGCCAGGCTAAGAATGGCCGCGGCATGTGGGGAGAGAAAAGGACGGAGACGATTAATGTTGGAAATATGCAGACCAAGAGATGTTATTGATGTGTGGGTTAAAAGATAGAGTAGCATCGCGCATGACACCCAGACTTTTCACTCATGGGGAAAAGCTATTAGTTGTGGATAGTGTTTGTTCATGGCCGACCAGGAGGAGCTCAGATTTGTTACTATTGAGTTTGAGAAAATTGGAAGAGAACCATGAATTTAGTTCGGCTAATCAGAGGGTGAGGGAGGACGGGGGAGAGCAGAATCAGGTTCAGTGGACAGATAAAGCTGGGTGTCATCAGCATAACAGTGAAACTGAATATTGTATTTACAAAAAATGTGTGCAAGCGGAAGGAGATAATGAAAAGAAGGGCAGATCCCTGGGGCACGCCTGCAACCAGAGGAAAGGGCTGAGAAGTATCATTGGTTGTTTTTATTAGTGCGGTTTCAGTGCTATGGGAGGGACGAAAACCCAGACTGGAACTGTTCATACAGATTATCATTAGTTAAGTATGAGTGGATAGTGTGGCCACTATCTTTTCAAGAATCTGAATATGTTCACTGATGCGGCTTGTGCTGTATTAATAAAACTGAATTATCATGCTTACAGAAATGTGTCATTTAATTATGTACCTGACAAAGGAGAGCTGGTCCCAGATTGGGCCCATGTGGGACACCCTAAAAAACAGATACAAATAAAAAGTAACTGGCAGAGGCTCTGCTGGCGATTATGACAGAAACTATGACAACCACGTACGAGATCATCCCCCCCAGCACCTCAGCGTGGCTAACAAAATGTGAATCGCTACCTTATCATGGTGGAGGGGTTTGTGTGTCCCAGGGATCCCAGGGGCTGTTGCCTGGAGGCTTTTGCCCCCTGGTAGGGTCTCCCATGGCAAATTGGTCCTGGGTGAGGGATTCAGAAGACCGTTACGAGAATATCACCGAGGGAACACTTTACCCTGCCCGAGGAGCCAGGCCCGGGGAGGGTGCCCGAAAGCAAGCATCTGGTGGCCGGGCCTTGGCACAGCCCAAAAAGGGGGCATGGGCCCAGTGTGCTTCAGCTTCACTCAAGGTTGAAGCAAAGGCTGACTGAGCAGCCGATCAACAGCTCTGTGTGTGTCTGGACTCTGTCCACAGCAGCCAAACATGTTTCTGTTGTAAATTTATCCCAATCAGAATACTTTATTAATCCCTTAGGAAATGATGTGGTCACAGTCACTCCAAGACAATAAGATCAGTAACAGACTGAACATAAAAAAAACATTTATTACAAAGTTTACAAAATACGAAAAATAGCTCTACAATTCTGGATTATTACAGCGATTAAATATATATGATTGACTGTAACCTGTAACACTTTGATATTTTCACAGTAGAGCATCTGCAAAAGGGTGTAACCGCTGCACTGTCTGCTGTGTATTAGATTGAGTTGTACAGAGAGGAATGATTTTCTGCATCGTTCAGTGGTGCATTATGGGTAATCTCAGTGTGCTCCTGTGACTGGGCAGCACATCATGGAGTGGGTGGGAGGTCTTGTCATAGACGTTTAACATTTACTCCTACAATGAAAACATAAAAGCTATATTTGAGTCACTGCAGTAATGCAAAGAATATGTGGGCTCACTTTGAGCAGGTTCTTTAACTAAAGGGGCGAAAAAAATCGACGCCCGAACAGGGACTTGAACCCTGGACCCTCAGATTAAAAGTCTGATGCTCTACCGACTGAGCTATCCGGGCTCTGGCAGAGTTTTGTCACGGGTTCCTCAAAAAGCTGGGTAGTCTGTTAGCACACTAGCATATTGCTGCAGGTAAAAGTAACACAGGAGATGTTCTCTGTTCACCTCGCGTTTCACGTCACGATATATCAGACATATTTGATTTTGGTCCTGCATGTTCTCTCAGCCATTTCTAGTTTTTCGAAACGCACATATCACTTCCGGTTTTTAAGAATTTCACAATAAAAACTCCGCTGCTAAAATCACAGAATGAACCCTCAAATTGCAACTCAAGACACGACTCATTCTGTTTATAAAGTGTTTAAATGACACAGTTGCATGCAATTTACGTAGTGTTTTTCACTGAATTGAGCTAGGACATTGACGTTTGCTCTCCGACGTTGTTTCTGCTGAAACAAGCGAAGCAGTCTGACGTCATGACTGCTGAAGCAAATATGATCAGTGTCGGAGGAGTAGTTGTCTTTGAGGACAGAGCCTGAGCCTCCATGTGTGAGCTAACGAAGAGAGGGCGGAGGAGAAGCGGGCCGGCTGACAGCAGCTAGCAGCGGTGCTAAGCTAACGTTAGCATTAAAGTGCTATTTTATGGCATTATTGTTTGTGTAGCGGACACGGGCGCAATATTAGCAGATTAGCCGTGTTGCTAGGGCCTCGTGTGAAAAAAGGATCTTAAAAATCTGTCATTGCAGCCTGTGCAACAGGTGGCTCCGTGGCGCAATGGATAGCGCATTGGACTTCTAGTCAAGCACTTGAGGAGTGATTCAAAGGTTGTGGGTTCGAGTCCCACCGGAGTCGCACGTTTTTGTTTTTTTTTGTTTATATGTATTGAATATGCTGTAATATAACTGTAATGTCAGTAACTAATATAACTAGCTAACGGTGTTACGTTGTGCGGAACGGAAGACTAACAATGACACAAATAGAGGGAATTAGCTGAAAATTAAAATAATGTTTACTTTAAATGCACTTAATGATTAATTGAGTTAAATTTAATGCCAGTAATAAAACATGTGTACCCATGCACATTATACAACATTTGTGTTTGTTTGCTGCTGAATAAAACTTAATAACTACTTAGAAATACATGCCATATCAGTTCTGATGGTCAGATTTGCTCTTTGTATTAACATACAGAGAAGTAGATAAAAATAAGTGTATGGAAATGGTTTTATTTTAGCATTTATTTATGTCTCTCCTGACCCATTCACTGGTGATCACGTCATTATCTTTGTTGTGTACAGTGGTCGGTGTTGCTGGCTCAATCACTGCAGCCACTAGATGGAGGCTCCCCGCGGCTGTGCAGCGATGTCAGAGGAGGCGGAGAGGCTAATCGGAGGAGGGTCGGGCAGCGAGTCGATGAGAGTGCCGATGATGGTCACGCTGAGGACGTCCGTGGCCTTTCTGCTTCACCTGGCTTCCTCTGTGGCGGTAAGAAACCGGAGCGTCCGTGTGACATATTTCTCCTCGTGCACTCTGTACTTCCTGCTTTAAGTATCTCTGAGATTTGGGTCCTCACACAGCTGATGACAGAGGGGTGAAAAATGCAGCCGTCGCTTTGTTCCAGTGGAAGCGCAGACTGAGCTCTGTCCACAGGGACACTGTTTGTGCTTCTCCGATGACTTATTGAAAAATGAGAACGTTGGTGTTGAACGTGGTTTAGATTCAGATTTCATTCTTACTGTACAGAACAAGAAATTCATCTCACTGGTATCATTTTATTTTTCTGGACTTCAGTCTCAGGATTTTTATTTCCATCAACCAAACTAACAAATGACAGAAACAGAATAAAAACTGAATGTTTACTTTATTGTGACAGAGTAAAACACAAACATTAGAAATAAACAGTAATGATCATATTTCAGTTTTATTTTGGTTTGACCTTTTAAACCCCACTTTGATAACTCCTCATCTGTTCAAGCTTCAGCTCTAATTTTGCGTTATGATTTATTGATGCAGTGCTGAGTAACTCAAAGTACGTCTGCTAACTTCCTTTAAACTAAGAAACACGCACCACGCACATTCTGCCCAAAATCTCCATATTCTGTTGAAAAGATCTGCATTCGAGTTCAGAGCTGAGCTGGACGTGCATGTAATACCATTTTGTTCCACACGAGGGAGCAGTGAGTCAGTGTAACTTCAGTATTTAACAACACATTTACAATAAAAACAAAGCGTGTTGAATCAACGTTAAACAGCACGCGGTCACTGTAACACTGCCCCCTGCTGGTGAACGTTTTCATTCAAATCTGCATGAGGCGATTACAAAAAGTACCTTTACTAAAGTAATCCCAATAACCTTTGACCTTTACCTCCACGCTGCAGGTGAGGCATCAGTGTGTATAAGATGATTCTTTAATCTCGGCTTTTATATCGTTTAGATTCGCAGCTTCACACGATTTCAGCATCATAAATATGGATTTATTTCAAACTGCATTTGTATATATTAATATCAAAGCATTGGCAGTTCTGCAGGAGTTTCATTGACAGAAACTTAAATGATTTCATTTTTAAAGTCCTTGAAACAGTCTCATGAATCAGGGGAGTGTTTGCTGTGACGAGCTTCAGTCAGGATTGAGAGTAGATCACAGAAACACTGATGAGGACAACAATGATCCTCTCATACTTTCTTCGTTACTGCCGAATGCCAGAGGAGAGCGTTTTTATCCTCCTGTCCAGGCGCCGGTGCCGTGTGAGGCGAGGGTGAGCCGGCTGGAAGCGGAGATCCAGGGCTTGATGAACGTGATCAGTGAGCAGCACCGCTACATCCAGGAGCTCCACAGCAGCCAGGCGCAGCAGCTGCAGCAGATCCCCAACTCGTACCTGGGCCTCGACGACCTCTACAGAGGTACGGCTGCATCCACCGTGTGTGGGTCAAACCCTACCTCGTCAGCACCGGACGCTTTCCTTTATCTAAGAAACAAACCATGTCTACACCGAGCGTCACAAGATCAGAGAAACCCGGGAATGGTTATTTTATTAGACTCATGTCAGACAGATGCAGCGTTACAGAGGACGAGGTCTCCTCCTGGGATCGAACCGGATCTTTTTCTTATCTGTGTGTGTGTGTGTGTGTGTGTGTGTGTGTGTGTGTGTAGACTGCTCTGAGGTGTTTGAGGATGGAAACGTGGCCAGCGGGCTGTACGTGATTCGCCCGGACGGCGCTCCCACGGCGCTGAGCGTGTACTGCGACATGAACCACGGAGGAGGGTGGACCGTCTTCCAGAGGAGGAGAGACGGCAAAGAGAGCTTCGACAGGTGTGTCACCTTTACACACGTGAACACGTGAACAGTGCAAACAAATGTGTCATCGTGTGTGTGTGTGTGCGTGTGTGCGTGCAGAGCGTGGGTGGAGTACAAGCATGGATTCGGAGACCTCTTCTCTCCTGCTGGAGAGTTTTGGTTGGGCAATGAACCCCTGCACCATCTGACATCACAAGGTGCGTCTACGTGTGTGTGTGTGTGCGCGCGCGCGCGTCTGATGCTTTCTGTGTTTTAGGGAACTATGACCTGCGCATCAACATGGAGGACTTTGAGGGGAACGAGCGCTACGCCGAGTACAAGAGCTTCAAGGTGGACGGCGAACAGGTGAAACTCAAGTAACCGCGGGAACGTCTCAGCTTTAAATTCAATCTGACGCTAAGAACACTTTACAGCCTCTCCCTGACCTTTGACCTCCTATCGGTTTCTCATAACACTCGGTCTTATTTAGACTACGGTCCCCAGCAGCAGCATCAAGGTCACCGCCGGTCTCTGTTCCCATCGGCGGTCCTCCCTCTCTGTGTTCCTGCACTGCTGAGGATAAACACAGATAAACTAACAGCAGGGGGAGGAGCTGCAGAATATTCCGGAGTGTTGGCGCGATGACGCGACGCTCCGGTCACCACGAGAGGAGGAAGTAAGACGAGCCGTTTGCTGCTGTTTTAGGAGGCCCCTCACCTGACCCTGACGTTAAACCTGAACCCAGGTGTGGCCTCAGGCCTTCAAAGGCTGTGAAAATGATGCGTTGAAGGGGCGTCGTTAAACGTAGCTGCAGAACAATAACCCGGGTCACTCTGCTGACTGCACGTTTCTTTGTGTGTGTGTAAGGTGTCTGATTAATCAGCTGGTGCTGAACGAACTGGCTGCGATGAGTCTGAGCATCAGATTTGTAACTGTGAGCTCCTGCAGCACTCGCAGTTTCAGCGCGTGGTCTTCCTCGCCGTCACGGGCCTGTGAGGTTCGCTTCAAACAGGGTCTGGCTGTAAATGGCTCCAAGTGTCCTCGCTGAAGGTCGCGCTGCAGGTGTGAGCCTGATCACTCTGCTTTCACTCCCGTGTTCACCTGAAGGACCAGTACCAGTTACATCTGGGCGAGTTCACTGGGAACGCTGGCGACGCTCTGGATGACGCCCTCAGGGCGGGACCGGGCAGTCCATGCGCAGACGGGGTGAAGTTCAGCACCTACGACCGGCCGAACTGCATCGACGCCGACGTTCAGTGCGTCAGACACAGCAAGTCGGGCTGGTGGTTCAGCAGGTGAGACGCACACGGCGACGCGTTTACTGCAGGCTTAAAGGGACAGTACACCAAAACTGAGCTGTAGAGTCGGTCCTCCACACGAGACAGAGCGACGGGGCCAAGCATCACCCGCCAACACCGTGACCCCGGGAAACTGACATCTTGCTGATAAACGTGATTCAGCCTCAGACATTCAGATTTAAATTCCAGCTGCAGCGTTTCTTTGTTCGTCTTTCATTTCTGCAGTTTGTGTTCAACTCATAAAATCAAACGCACCTTTCATGGGAACTGTGGAGATGAAGATCTTTGTGTGTCTGTTTGAAGCTCTTTGCACAAAGAGCTTTGAAGCGTTTGTTCAGTGGCTGCTGCTTTTAGTGTTTAGTTAAAGTTCACCGTCCTTTAAACCAAAGGTTAATAATCAGCTCGTTTGATTTCTGCCTCCTCATGTTCCCTAACGCAGCCGTTCCCAAACTTTTCTGCAGCTGCTCCGATTTATAATCAGTTCAGGTCTTTTTAAACTCGGGTAGAAAAAGCGGAGTAGAGAATCAATCAATAAAGTTTTAATAGAAAAACCTGAACTTTTATCCCTTAAAATTAAACCCAGCAGGGTTCATGCTGCTGAGCTTCTCACGGCTCGTTTTCGGCGCTTCGATCATGAAGCTTTTCGTCTCTGCAGCTGAACTATCAGGACAGACGTGAAGACGCTCGGTGGACTGTCCCTTTAATTGGAGCAGAGTGCGATTAAAGCAGCTGCTATTGGCCGATCGTGTCAGCTGACTGTTCTGTGACTTCCCCCTCACAGGTGTAACGCAGGTAACCTGAACGGTCACTACTACGACGGGCCGTTCGAAGCCATGACGGACGACGGCGTGGTGTGGTACACGTGGCACGGCTGGGCCTACTCCATCAAGTCTGTCGTCATGATGATACGAGCGTCCGACCTCGAAGCGCCACCTCCAGCGAACGTTTACCTGCCAGGCGGTCCTGACGTGGTCCCGGCGGCGGGCCGAGGCGCTCCGTGAAGCCGAGGTCACTTTGATGCTGTGAAATAAAGTCAGAGCGCCTTCGTATGATGTCATGTCGCATTTATTCTGTTCAAAACAACAAAAAGAACATTGTACACTGAGGCATTCTGGGTAAATCTGAGGTTTTTCAGGACAAACAACAGAAACAGTAAAACAGGCCAGTGTGTCAGTGAGGGAGGGGCACGGCAGGGCAGACATCTGATTGGGCACCGGGTGATTTCAGGGCGTGAGGGGAGGTCTGCATATTTGGCTCTGAGGCCGGCCCCCTACGTCGAACGTCCACGGGTGATTACATTCCACAAAGCAGGTTAAGGTCGAGGTCGTGACAGGACAGAGGTCTGTGGGAGGCGTGTCTCCGTCCCATTGGAACGCTGATTGAGCTTCGCTCCTTGGAGGGGGAGCGTTTCCACAAACATCCACAAATCCAAGGTTTCCCCCCGAGGGGGCGAGCGGAGCAGCGGTCAGGGAGGAGGAGCTATGTACAGACCCTGAGGCGTGCCTGCTGGTTTCTTCAGAGGAGGAAGAACGCTCCTGGGAGGATCGGGCGCTCCGAGGCGGCGAGCTCAGCCCGGGGCCGCGATCTGGTTTAAGTGCGTCGGTGCCGCCGCAGCGTCTTTTCAAAATAAGATATTTATTTAAAAATGTACAAGTCTGCGATGGCTTCATGTCCAGCGGCGCCGCTCCGACTCGGGAGGGGGGAGCGCAGGGGGGGCGGTGGGTTATCTGGGCGATAACGGCGCAGCTGTGGCGAAGGAGGCGGAGTTCCGGGGCGAGCTGAAGGGGGAGGTGGGCGAGAGGCGGCGGGGGCTCGCCAGCAGGTCGCCGTTGTGCAGCTTCCACAGCAGCTCCTCGTTCTCCATGGACAGCCGCTTGTTGACCTTTGACTCCTTCTGCAGCGTCTGCTGCAGTATGGCCTGCTCGCTGGACAGCTGCCTGCAGGGGGAGACAGAGAGCCGTGAGACGGGCAAGGATTTATCGAAAGGGGAGCCGCTCGTTTACAGCTTCCACGCGCCCGCTGAGAGGCTGATGGGTTCTGATCACGACAGGCGCACGCGGGACGTTTAAAAGGCGCCGTCGTTCGTGCTGCTGTGGCGGGATTTTACTCTGAACGCTGTTAAAGCCACACGTGTGATGTTTTCACTCACTGCAAATACAAAGTTGATTTTTAAAGTTTTTCACAGGCAAACAGTCACTTTCTTATTCACACGAGCCACAATAACAGGACAGAGATATGCGCTCCGAGGCTTTAAGCAATCAACATTCTCGCGCTCCTCGTTGCCTGAAATCTGCTTTCTTTTGTATTTACGGAGCAGAAACATGTTCGTCTCTCCCAGAACGTCTCGTTCTTCACATTATGAGTCAAAGAACAGCAGCAGATAAACCCTCATCATCACGACTCACGCAGCGAGAGTCGCCGGCGGTCCCTGCGACAGGCCTTTTAACATTTATCTGAAAGCCAGGAGAGGGAGGGAGGAAACCAGGAGGTAGCTGAACGATCGGATGGGGATGAGTCCCCTGGAGTACATACTTGGACAGCGCGGCGTGTTTGTCCATCCTGGCCTTGTAGTCCTCGTTCTCCTGCTGCACCTTATTCAGACACTCCTCCAGCTTCACATTCGTCTCCACCTGTGACACACACACACACACACACACACGTTTTTTTTCATCCAATCATCAGGCTCGGCTCAGGTAGATGAAAATGTTTAAAAGCAGCTAATCCGTCCGACTGACGCACTCGCTCCTCGCTGTGCGATGCTCGCTGTGGCAGACGCTCCGGCAGTAACACCAGACAAACAACAACTGTTTCCAAAGCTTCAGTCACAAAGCACGGGAGATTCCCGGGAGGCTGCCGATGCTGCTAGATAAGGAATTCTTAGATCTGCTGAGACGGAAACAGATCTGCACCCACCAGTTTGTCCATCTCCATCAGCTTCTTCTCCTTCTGATGCAGCTGGTTGTTCTTGATCTCCAGCACCACCTTCAGACTCTCCAGCTCCTTCTCCAGGTACACGGTGTGCGGGTCCTTCTGCACAAACAGCACAGACACAGCAGGTGAGCGCAGGAACCCTCGGCGCTTTAAGCAGCATTACAGCAGCACAACAAGCACACATTTCCTGTCCCTTTAGTATGAGTTAGTCACTGCTCTTCCACACCAGCAGGGGGCAGTCATGGTCAGCAGCAGGCTTCACGAGTGCTGCTAGGAGGAGTTCAGAGGGAGATTAAACCATCGTTACCAGATTCTTGTCGGTGAGCATCCTCTTTCTCCTCTCCTCCTCGGCTCGCAGCTTCTCGCTCAGGTCCTCCTTCTCCGCCGTGAGCTCGGAGAGTTTTTCCTGAGGGGGAAACAGAGGCGGCGGCGTTAGAGTTCACGCTGAGCTCAGTGGCAGGTAAACTACAGATTCATCAGGAACACGTCTGCAGACCGAGCTCAGGTTTGTGTTGGCCTCCTGAGCGTCTGAGCCGGCAGCACAGATAGATCCTCGGCTCTCCTCCACACACAAACATCTGGAAGCACCTGGAGGGAAAACGTGTGCGAGCCTCAGCACGAACGCAGCGCTGCAGAGTCACCGATTCAAACGCCCTGACGGCCACGCTCGCCCCGCGCTGAGCAGACACATCACCTCATTCTCATGTTTATAGTACTCTATTCT